CAGCAGTTCACCCAGATAAAGAGAGAAGCACATCTTAGTTTTAACGTTATAGCGTCTGGGTGTGACGGCACAGGATTAGATTAGTATGTTCTTTGTGGGAATCTCTAGATCTTCCATTCTTCTCTGCTCAACTTCTGGCTGAAAGAGGCAATTATACATCATTTATGCATAACCTTTGCCTTTAAAAGACTGTAATGACACAATCTAAAATGAAGCAAGAGACTTCTAATGCAAGTTGAACATAGAATTATTTTTGAGGAGGTAGATATTTCCAGAAAGAGATTTTCTTGGGTTAAAATAGCTTTTTTATTCAGTATTTTTTTTATTTCAAGAGGTTCTGTACTCATAACCTTCACACAAGTGGCGAGTTTACTGTATGTAAGTAATGTCTGAACAGGGCTAAGGTGTTGCAGTTACAATAGTATGAGGATATGTATATAAGTTTGTGAATGTGTGTGTGAGTGTGGGCCCGTCCAGAGAGTACCTTTATTGCAGTATCTACTGTAATAAAGGAGGGGCTGTCCAGACAACGTTCTAATTGCCTCTCAACAAAAGATTGCCCCAGGCACTGCCAGGCCATCAAATGCTAATCAAGGAGGTCAGTTGAAACATTCACACCTAGCTCCAACAGACAAGAGTCCTTTGTCCCACTCTGGTCATTTCACAGATATATAAACCCTTTTTCCTAGTTCCAACAGACCTCACTACCTCTGAGGATGCTTGCCATAGATGCAGGTGAAATGTCAGGAGAGAATGCCTCTAGAACATGGCCATATAGTCTGAAAAAACCTACAACAACCCAGTGATTCCAGCCATGAAAGACTTCGACAATACATAGTCTCAAATTAATTTGCTACAAACCAGGAAAACCCTCATTTGTAGCGAATTAATTAGATAGTGGGTTTATTCCATGCCGATAAACCCACTATTTCCAGTTCTGGACTGCAGAATACTGCAGTCCTGACAGTATTTCCAAGTTGAGCAGGATAAATAAGCCCGGTAAACTGTGGGAATACCCACCCCCTCCCCTGAAGCCCCCAGGCCCCTTACAAAAGTAATGAAAACTTACCTGTCCTCCATTACAGGCTTCGGCCAGCTCTCCTGGCATGTAGAAATGACGCACCAGGAGAGCGGGGAGGGGGGGGAGGAAAATTGCGTCCCGTCCCCCTCGCTCTCCTGGCACATCATTTCTATGCACCAGATATGCTTCTGCACCATATGTTTAACATTCATGCCTAACATACGTTCTGTAGTGATCTGCCTTTGTGAAACTTTCTCAAGATTTTATGTCAGCAAATAAATGTGTGCTCATCTTTGACAGATGTTTTCTTCTATTGGCAGGTTGAAATTGTGATGTCCTTGCTTGGAATGTTTTGCCCTCCCCTGTTTGAAACCATTGCTGCCTTAGAAGACTACCATCCACGCATTGGACTAAAATGGCAATTAGGACGTATTTTTGCTCTTTTTCTTGGGAACCTATATACTTTCTTGTTGGCTTTAATGGACGATGTCAAGGAAAAGGTAGGAAGCAGAAAGGAGTATAGGTATACCTCAATTAGTATTGTCTTCCTAGACAATACTTTTAAAATAGAAATTTTTGTACCAGAGTCAGAGGGTTCATCTACTGTAGAATTCATGTAGTTTGACATGACTTCAACTGTCATGGCTGAATGCTATAGAATCATAAGAATTTTAGTTTGTTGGGGAACCAGCACTGTTTGTCAGTGAAGGCTAAAGACCTTGTAAAACTACAGCCCTCATAATCCCATAGGATTGAACCGTGGCAGTTAAATTGGTGTCAGGCTGTGTAAACAGAGATTAAATGTTTGTGTTTCCTTTGAGGTTGAGCAAGTATGACTCGCCCAAGGCTTCCCAATGGGCTTCCGTGGCTGAGCAGGTATTCAAACCAAAGTCATAGTCCATTAGTGTAACACTAACGTCTGTTCCATCACAGTTGACTGAAGAAGGTGTGATAAGGAACATCACACACTGGACCTTCATCACATACCACAATGTAACTGCAGGAAATGGAAGTGCTGCTACTCCACCTCCCATGGATCCAGCAGATGTACCTCGAGGACCTTGCTGGGAAACAACTGTGGGAATAGTAAGTGCTCAAAAGAGATCCTTTT